CCCGCGTGCCCGTGAGGGCTTCTGCCGCTCGCAGGTCAGCCGCGGAGCGTAGGCTGCCCAGCAAGCACTTCTGTCGGTGAGCGGTCTGGACCACGACGGCGTCCACGGGCCAGTCGGCGATGCTGCCCAGGTCGTAGCAAAAAAACCAGACTGCGTAATCCACAGCAGTCCAAGGCCCTCGCGCGTACCTTTCCGATATCTCAAGCTGGGCAGCTCGAATCCAAGCCATATCCGCCTCCGCGACATCCTCTGCCTCGGAAGCCCGTGAGCAAGCCATGCGATCAACAGAAACAGCTCAGGCGTGAGTTTACGCAACTCGAGCAAAACGCTGACCGACATGAAAAGCTAACTTGGGGTGCGAAGCTGCGGCTCGCGTGCAAGCAAAACGCACTGCGTCAGCTGATGCCTTTTGTGATTTCTACGCGCCTCATGCTGGCGCTCTCCTAGCCCGGTGCTCGCGCAGCTTTCGCAAGACAGCGGCCACTGCGTCGCACCGGGCCAGGAGAGAACAGAGCGCGTCAAAACAAAGCCACTGGCCGTCGTCCAAGACCAAAGCCGTAGGCCAAGACAGTGGCTTGCGCCCGCTAGGCGTTCGACCACGTCGAGCACTTCACTTTCATGAGTCTCATCGACGAGGCTGCTGGCCGGGCGCTTGTTGTCCTGCAGCTGAGGCTCCAGCCCGAGCAGGCACCACACCATGTCGCGCTCCTCCTGCAAGTGGAGAAGTTGGTCCTGACTCACCCGCGACATCCACTCCACGTGCAAGGTGATGCCGCCCGTGTTCTCGTTCTTCAGCACGCGGCCGACCAAGAAGCGCGGACTCCCGTCCGCCATGTTGAACAGATGGCAGCTCTTGAAGTGGCAGAAAGCCTCGATGGCGAATGCAGCGTCTCCATCCTTGCGCGGGTAGGGGTGCACCTTCTCGTGCTTCGTGACCAGGTGTCTGTCCCCGGCCACGTCAATCTCGTCAATGGCAGGGTCGTCCTCGGCGACTGCGAGAAGCGTCACGTAGTTCGCGAACACCTCGCCACGCAAAAAGAAAGAACCCATGTCGGAGCAGGACATGTCCTGGTACAAGTTCTGGACGGGCAGCACGGCTCCATCTCTCTTCTGGTTCAAGAGCCGCGTCACCTTGTTCACCATGGGCCGGACCCCATCCGAGTAGCCCTCGCCGAAGCAGGCGCGAGAGGCCAAGACTTGGAACTGAGTTGTCACGGAGGTTCCAGGAGCAGACGCTTGAGATGCCTGCGACGCCGAGGGCGCGGCGCCGCGGCTCGTGGCCAGTCGAGGCGAGGTGCCCAGACGGAGATCGAAAGGCCCCTTGAAGCACAGCACGTGCGCGCCTTTGTCTTGAATCGCTCGAGCCAGCGCAGCTTCGCCGTCAACGCGGGCCAAGACCGCGAGCTCCTAGCCGCCCACCAAAACGTTGTCCAGCTGCCCGCTCCAGTCCGCAATGTGCACCGTCGCAAGCACGCGAGGCGCGTCCGAGGCCTCCGTCTGGCAGTTGTTGGAGTCGGCTCGCTTGCACTTCCTCGTCAGCCCGTCAATCTTGGTGCCGCAGTGCTTGCACGGAGTGTAGACAGGATCCCCCAGAACGCTGACAAGCCAAGCTGCGTGCAGCGCCACTTCCACTTTCTCCTGGCAAGCAACTGCGCAGGCGGAGAAGCAGCTACTTGAAAACAGCGGTTTTGTCTAAGATCATGCCCGTGCCCGGCCTGTAGGTCACCCTGCTCCATGGCCAAGCCGAAAGCGTTCATGGTCGCCGCGCAGGCGACGAAGCACGGGATGGTCGCCGCGCAGGCGGGATGCCGAAGACCAATGCCCGCTCCGCTGCGGAGCGCCAAAGAACGCCTGCTTGCGAGTCTGCGCCCTCCGCGAGGCAATCCAGGGCAAAAGCTGCCAGCGGAGCAAAGTCCGGCGGATAGGCTTTCTTCAAGGCCTTGAGGCGGGCGCTGGCACCGCTCGTCTGGTGCCTCTCAACACGCTTGGCCAGCTGCGGATGCTCCTCCGAGGACGGGATGCGGGAGCAGCCCTCGACCACTTGCCAAGCTATCAGGTCATCCCGCAGCTGACGCACGTCAGCGTCGATGCCGTCCTCGCCGCCCCTTGCCTCGGCGACCGCAATGGGGCTGTGCAGGTCACGAACGCCAATGCTAGCCAGAGGATGTAGTAGCTCCACCGCCAAGAACCAGGCAAACGCTGACCAATCTTCCGACTTCCGCACGTCTTTGAAGGTCTGGGACCATCTGCAAGTTCCTCCCTGCTCCGAGCGTCGGTCCCAACCATACCGGCGCATCAGAGCCCGCAGCAGCGCAGTGTCGCCTTCGTCGAACTTGCGGGACCGGTACTTGTGCTTCAGCATGCACAGGACCGCCTGCGGTCAGAAATCTCAAGAACAAATTGAAACATACAAGCGACCTCGAAGCTCGCCCCCTTTCTTGCGCGAGGCATTTTCCCCCCGGAAAAGGGCTTCATCCCACGATAAATGGAGCTAGAAGGCGGTACAGAGAAACTTGCGCGCTGCGACCTGGCACGCGCGGGTTTTTCCGAAGGCGGGCGATGCTGGTGATGCTGGCGATGCTGGCGATGTTGCTGCTGTGCGTGTGATGATGCTCGCGGATAGCTCGCGCGGGCTTACGAGCTATCTTGCGTTAGTCAGGTTGCGCTTGCAAATGTGTGCCCCCCTCACTTCCTACTCAAACCCGAACCTGACAAGTCAAGATTTTGACCCGCTGCGGTCACCCAAGCCGAGGCAAACGCGCCTCCAAAACATCCTTGCGATCTTCGTAGCCGTCGGTGTCAGCAGCAGGCGGCTCTTCGTCCAACTCGGCCAGAAAGCAAAGACGCGAGGCCACGTCGACAGGGTCTGCCCTCTCCTGGCAGTCTGCCAGCCGCCACCAGCCTGACTGGCATGCTCTTCAGGAAGAGGCGCAGAAAACACAGAACGCAAGCTGCACCCTTGACGTCCGAACCAGCAGACAAAAACACTTATTACAGTACACAGATCCAGCCTGCTCGGTGGTCACCGCGAGCGTCCAAAACGGCAGCCAGCAGCGCGTGCTGCAAAGGAACACACAGGCCAGGAGTCGCCACGACCTGCAAGCTAGCCACAGCGTCTTCCCACGTGACAGCGACCTGCGAGGCCAGCGCAGCCTCCACTGCAGGCCACTGCTGCAACGCGCTGACAACTCTTGTGACGAGTATCCGCGCCTCTTCAGCAGCAGAGCAGTGCCTGCGGGCAATGACCTCCACGGTGACATCCAAACAGTACGCCGCCGCAGCCCTGCACAAGTTCGAGGACTCGACGATGTCCCGCGCAGCAGCAGCCACAGCTTCAGCAGTTTCTGCTCGGGCATCACGCAGCTTGCGAAGCAATCGCCATACGTGGTACTTGATGTCCGCTTGAGCGCCTGGAGCAGCCAGCGGGCACAAAGCCATGACAATCCTATGAACCAATGTGTCCCTGGTGATATTCTCGAACGGGACGCCCAGCTCCATAGCCAATCCTTGTAAACACGGCTCAGCATTGCGCAGTGGAACTCCACGAAGTCGGGCCCGAAGACTCGGGGCCGCCCCGTCGCCCAGCGCCGCTGCCAACTGCCGCAAGCCATCTGCGGTAACGCGGTCGTCGGCGCTGGCACGCCCCGCAGTATCCTCAGGCCGATAGAATACGGAGAAGCGCGCGCGAACCCAAGCACTCCGTCTCTAAACAGCGCAGCGCATATCGCACTGTAAACTTGCACGCAGCAAAAGCCACCCAACCGAGCAACGCGGCGTCGCTCCCTCATCGCGCCTGCTCCTCGGAAACGTGCTGCGCCACCTTCTCTAGCAGCTCCGCTTTGGACGCGTTGCGTCCAGCTTCGTATTGCTGCACGCCTGCGGTGCCAGCAAGCTGTCGCAGCTGCACGGCGGTCTGCTTGGCGAGCTCCTCGCGCAGCCAGCCAGCTCCCCGCGCGGCAAAGCCTTCTCGCACAGAGTCCAGCAGCTGCTGCGACTCGGTGGTCGCAGGATCGGTGGCCGCAGGATCCTGAGCCACAACTACACAAAAGACGCGAGTCACAACTACACAAAACATGCTCCAACACTGGCCTATCATAGCCAATGCAATCGAATTGTTTTATGCCCCAGGACTGACCTATGCTGTGGAAACCACGTGGACATGGGCTTCAACGGGACCACACAACAGGAGGTCTGCGCAGCAACAGCAGGCCAACTGAGCAACGCGGCGTCGCTCCCTCATCGCGCCTGCTCCTGGGAAACGTGCTGCGCCACCTTCTCTAGCAGCTCCGCTTTGGACGCGTTGCGTCCAGCTTCGTATTGCTGCAGGCCCGCGGCGCCAGCAAGCTGTCGCAGCTGCGCGCGGGTCCGCTTGGTGAGCTCCTCGCGCAGCCAGCCAGCTCCCCGTGCGGCAAAGCCTTCTCGCATAGAGTCCAGCAGCTGCTGCGACTCGGTGGCCGCAGGATCCTGAGCCACAACTACACAAAAGACGCGAGTCACAACTACACAAAAGATGCCCCAACACTGGCCTATCATAGCCAATGCGATCGAATTGTTTTATGCCCCAGGACTGACCTATGCTGTGGAAACCACGTGGACATGGGCTTCAACGGGACAACGCAACAGGAGGTCTGCGCAGCAACAGCAGGCCAACTGAGCAACGCGGCGTCGTTCCCTCATCGCGCCTGCTCCTGGGAAACGTGCTGCGCCACCTTCTCTAGCAGCTCCGCTTTGGGCAGGTTGCGTCCAGCTTCACGTTGCTGCACGCCCGCAGTGCCAGCAAGCTGTCGCAGCTGCACGGCGGTCTGCTTGGCGAGCTCCTCGCGCAGCCAGCCAGCTCCCCGTGCGGCAAAGCCTTCTCGCAGAGTGTCCAGCAGCTGCTGCGACTCGGAGGCCACAGGATCCTGAGCCACAACTACACAAAAGATGCGAGTCGCAACTACACAACAGATGCCCCAACACCGGCCTATCATAGCCAATGCGATCGAATTGTTTTATGCCTCGGGACTGACCTATGCTGTGGAAACCACATGGACATCGGCTTCAACGCGACAACGCCGCAGGAGGTCTGCGCGGCAACAGCAGCCCAACTGAGCAACGCGGCGTCGGTCCCTCATCGCGCCTGCTTCTCGGAAATGTGCTGCGCCACCTTCTCTAGCAGCTCCGCTTTGGGCAGGTTGCGTCCAGCTTCGTATTGCTGCACGTCCGCGGCGCCAGCAAGCTGTCGCAGCTGCACGGCGGTCCGCTTGGTGAGCTCCTGGCGCAGCCAGCCAGCTCCCCGCGCGGCATAGCCTTCTCGCAGAGTGTCCAGTAGCTGCTGCGACTCGGTGGCCGCACGATCCTGAGCCACAACTACACAAAAGATGCCCCAAGAGTGGATCATTAAATACACAATGTTACTGCTCTAGGCCCAAAACTGGCCTATAGCTAATGTTATCGAATACCAAAGCTTCGCTGGTCGTGCATTCACTGGTGCGTTCACTTGCTAACCCGCAAAACTCCACATGCGTGGCTGAAGCACGACAACGCGAAGCAGGTGAAGCGACGTGCATCCTGTGCCTCTGTGTCTTGCTCCTGTCTGGGCCCTGCCTGCTCCTTGGACAGCCGCTGCAGCGCGTCACCGTCGCCGCGCGCCATGCAAGCCATACACTCGATGCGGCGGTTTAGTACACTATACCGATGCCCAACACGCTCGATGCGGTGGCTTCGATCTGGCGAGCTGTAGAAAATGTAGCTGCTGCTGGGTAGTCTTGCTCTAATGCTCTACATGTGGGGCTCCGAAAATATGCTGCCGACGGCGCAAAAGCAAAAGCATGTCTCAAGGTAAACCGAGCCTCAACTCATGCGAATCCTCAACTCAAGTGCGCACGCAGTGCTCCAAAAACTATCGGAACGGCTGCCGGGTGCAAAGGCTGCTGCTGAGAAGTCTTGCTTCAATGCTGCATGTGGAAATGCGCCAAACACTCTTTGCAAACTCTGCAGGTAAATTTGACTTCGCCCTGAAGGACGGCGCTGCCCACGAAACAAAAAGAAACAAGCCAATAGCAACCGGCTCCTGCCCGAGTCAGACACAAAAATCGCTATGTCATGAAAGCGTATGTTTCTGCAAAGCAGGCTCGTGTAACTTAGCTCTGCGCAAGATGGCTGTGCGCAACTTGGCGCGCTACTACCTGGCGAGCGCAAGCTACTTTACGCGAGTGGCTCTGCGCAACTTGGCTCTATAAAGCGTAGCTCTGCGCGAGTCTGCTCAGCGCAATGTGCTTTGCTCAAGTTGCGCTGCATGGTTTCTCACGAAAGTGGCCTGCGCAAGCTGCACTGTTCCAGGCTGCTTTCGGGCAAGTTGCTCTCTGCACGCTGCTGCGCGCAAGTGCTCTGTGCAGGTTGCTCTGCGCAAGTGCTCTGAGCAAGTTGCTCTGCGCAAGTGCTCTGCGCCAGTTGCTCCGTGCGAGCGCTTTGCGCATGTGCTCTGTGCAAGTTGGTCTGTGCAAGGTGCTCTGCGCAAGTGCTTTGTGCAAGTGCTCTGTGCAATTCGCAGAGCGCAAGTTGCTCTGTGCAAGTGACTCTGCGCAAGTTGCTCTGCGCAAGTGCTGCCGGAGCTGTGGGAATGTGCTCCGCGTACTATTTTTGTACTTAAAAGTTGCGATTGTCCAGCCGGAGCCGCGGGAATGTGCTCCGCGTACTACGTTGTACTTAAAATTACGATTTTCCAGCCGGAGCTGCAGGAGCACGCTCCGCGTACTACGTTTGTACTTAAAAGCTGCGATTTTCAAGCCGGAGCTGCGGGGGTGTGCTCCGCGTACTACGTTTGTACTTAAAAGTTGCGATTTTCCAGCCTGAGCTGCGGGAGCACGCTCCGCACACTACGTCTGTACTTAAAAGTTACGATTTTCCAGCCAGGGTGGATCGAACCGCGGGGATTGGTTAAGCAAGCGCGCTAACCACGGACAACTTCCAAAGGCCGTTTCGACGAGCAAGAATATGCACGGCGCCACAGCGAGAGCTTCGACACGCACAATCTCCGCAGAGGGTTCGCCGAGACTAAGACAAATTCGCACGGCGCCACAGCGAGAGCGCTTCGACGCGCACGATCTCCGCAGAGGGTCGCGCGCGGCTTGCAGAAATCGTAAAAAGTCCTCAGTTTTTGAACCTCGACCACGCGAATCTCCGCAGAGGTCGCTCTGCGCGCATGCAAAAATGTAAAAGGTTTTTGAACCGCGACCGAGAATCTCGCCGCAGAGGGTCGCGCGCGCATGCTAAAAATCGTAAAAAGTCCTCAGTTTTTGAGCCTCGACCACGCGAATCTCCGCAGAGGGTTGCGCGCGCACCGCAGAAATCGTAAAAAGTCTTCAGTTTTTGAACCTCGACCACACGAATCTCCGCAGAGGGTCGCGCGGGCATGCTAAAAATCATAAAAAGTCCTCAGTTTTTTGACCTCGACCACGCGAATCTCCGCAGAGGGTTGCGCGCGCATGCTAAAAATCGTAAAAAGTCCCCAGTTTTTGAACCTCGACCACGCGAATCTCCGCAGAGGGTCGCAATCCCGAGCGACGATCAAACTCCCGCCCCGGCGCCTTAGAAACCTAAACTAACTTACATAGCTGCTAACGCCGAAGCTCTAAGCTCTACCTAACCTTGGCTCTATGTAACTTGGCTCTATGTAACTTGGCTCTATGTAACTTGGCTCTATGTAACTTGGCTCTATGTAACTTGGCTCTATGTAACTTGGCTCTATGTAACTTGGCTCTATGTAACTTGGCTCTATGTAACTTGGCTCTATGTAACTTGGCTCTATGTAACTTGGCTCTATGTAACTTGGCTCTATGTAACTTGGCTCTATGTAACTTGGCTCTATGTAACTTGGCTCTATGTAACTTGGCTCTATGTAACTTGGCTCTATGTACTTGGCTCTATGTAACTTGGCTCTATGTAACTTGGCTCTATGTAACTTGGCTCTATGTAACTTGGCTCTATGTAACTTGGCTCTATGTAACTTGGCTCTATGTAACTTGGGGCTCTATGTAACTTGGCTCTATGTAACTTGGCTCTATGTAACTTGGCTCTATGTAACTTGGCTCTATGTAACTTGGCTCTATGTAACTTGGCTCTATGTAACTTGGCTCTATGTAACTTGGCTCTATGTAACTTGGCTCTATGTAACTTGGCTCTATGTAACTTGGCTCTATGTAACTTGGCTCTATGTAACTTGGCTCTATGTAACTTGGCTCTATGTAACTTGGCTCTATGTAACTTGGCTCTATGTAACTTGGCTCTATGTAACTTGGCTCTGTAACTTGGCTCTATGTAACTTGGCTCTATGTAACTTGGCTCTATGTAACTTGGCTCTATGTAACTTGGCTCTATGTAACTTGGCTCTATGTAACTTGGCTCTATGTAACTTGGCTCTATGTAACTTGGCTCTATGTAACTTGGCTCTATGTAACTTGGCTCTATGTAACTTGGCTCTATGTAACTTGGCTCTATGTAACTTGGCTCTATGTAACTTGGCTCTATGTAACTTGGCTCTATGTAACTTGGCTCTATGTAACTTGGCTCTAATGTAACTTGGCTCTATGTAACTTGTCCAAGGGCTCCGCACGGAAGAACCCTTCGCGATGCTTTCGGGAAAAAAGAAACAAGCCAATAGCAACCGGCTCCTGCCCGAGTCAGACACAAAAATCGCTATGTCATGAAAGCGTATGTTTCTGCAAAGCAGGCTCGTGTAACTTAGCTCTGCGCAAGATGGCTCTGCGCAACTTGGCGCGCTACTACCTGGCGAGCGCAAGCTACTTTACGCGAGTGGCTCTGCGCAACTTGGCTCTATAAAGCGTAGCTCTGCGCGAGTCTGCTCAGCGCAATGTGCTTTGCTCAAGTTGCGCTGCATGGTTTCTCACGAAAGTGGTCTGCGCAAGCTGCACTGTTCCAGGCTGCTTTCGGGCAAGTTGCTCTCTGTACGCTGCTGCGCGCAAGTGCTCTGTGCAGGTTGCTCTGCGCAAGTGCTCTGAGCAAGTTGCTGTGCGCAAGTGCTCTGCGCCAGTTGCTCCGTGCGAGCGCTTTGCGCATGTGCTCTGTGCAAGTTGGTCTGTGCAAGGTGCTCTGCGCAAGTGCTTTGTGCAAGTGCTCTGTGCAATTCGCTGAGCGCAAGTTGCCCTGTGCAAGTGACTCTGCGCAAGTTGCTCTGCGCAAGTGCTGCCGGAGCTGCGGGGGTGTGCTCCGCGTACTACGTTTGTACTTAAAAGTTGCGATTGTCCAGCCGGAGCCGCGGGAATGTGCTCCGCGTACGTCTGTACACTTAAAAATTGCGATTTTCCAACCGGAGCTGCAGGAGCACGCTCCGCGTACTACGTTTGTACTTAAAAGCTGCGATTTTCAAGCCGGAGCTGCGGGGGTGTGCTCCGCGTACTACGTTTGTACTTAAAAGTTGCGATTTTCCAGCCTGAGCTGCGGGAGCACGCTCCGCACACTACGTCTGTACTTAAAAGTTACGATTTTCCAGCCGGAGCTGCAGGAGCACGCTCCGCGTACTACGTTTGTACTTAAAAGCTGCGATTTTCAAGCCGGAGCTGCCGCGGACCAGGGGGGAATCGAACCCGCGACCGCGGGATTGCGAAAGCAGGCGCGCAAACCACGAGACAACTTCCAAAGGCCGTTTCGCGAGCAAGAATATTGCACGGCGCCACAGCGCTCTCGTTCGACACGCACAATCTCCGCAGAGGGTTCGCCGAGACTAAGACAAATTCGCACGGCGCCACAGCGAGAGCGCTTCGACGCGCACGATCTCCGCAGAGGGTCGCGCGCGGCTTGCAGAAATCGTAAAAAGTCCTCAGTTTTTGAACCTCGACCACGCGAATCTCCGCAGAGGGTCGCGCGCGCATGCTAAAAATCGTAAAAAGTCCTCAGTTTTTGAACCTCGACCACGCGAATCTCCGCAGAGGGTCGCGCGCGCATGCTAAAAATCGTAAAAAGTCCTCAGTTTTTGAGCCTCGACCACGCGAATCTCCGCAGAGGGTTGCGCGCGCACCGCAGAAATCGTAAAAAGTCCTCAGTTTTTGAACCTCGACCACGCGAATCTCCGCAGAGGCGTTGCGCGGGCATGCTAAAAATCATAAAAATTCCCCAGTTTTTTGAACCTCAACCACGCGAATCTCCGCAGAGGGTTGCGCGCGCATGCTAGAAATCGTAAAAAGTCCCCAGTTTTTGAACCTCGACCACGCGAATCTCCGCAGAGGGTCGCAATCCCGAGCGACGATCAAACTCCCGCCCCGGCGCCTTAGAAACCTAAACTAACTTACATAGCTGCTAACGCCGAAGCTCTAAGCTCTACCTAACTATGTAACTTGGCTCTATGTAACTTGGCTCTATGTAACTTGGCTCTATGTAACTTGGCTCTATGTAACTTGGCTCTATGTAACTTGGCTCTATGTAACTTGGCTCTATGTAACTTGGCTCTATGTAACTTGGCTCTATGTAACTATGTAACTTGGCTCTATGTAACTTGGCTCTATGTAACTTGGCTCTATGTAACTTGGCTCTATGTAACTTGGCTCTATGTAACTTGGCTCTATGTAACTTGGCTCTATGTAACTTGGCTCTATGTAACTTGGCTCTATGTAACTTGGCTCTATGTAACTTGGCTCTAT